TAAATCTGTAGGTATTCAAACCTAACATTTGACAGGATAGTTTATTAACTTCTTTTATATGTTATTTTCCTAAGTGTTACCTTAGTCACAGGGCTAGTGTAAGGATTCAATCCGTTATACATACAAAGTGCTAGCTTGGAATCTGGCATAAAATTAGCACAGTGAATACTGACGTGTCTTTCCTGAGATCTTATAATTGCACATGTATGTGCATCTTAATTGGCATTGAACAGTCACAACTTTTAAAATGTTCTTTTCAACATATGCTTTCTGTGTATGTCTCATCAGGATTTTCTTATGTTTAATATATGAGACTGAGATCTTCAGAATCTTGCAGATTCTCCAGATAGGGGTAGCCATTCTGTAGAATTAGTGATTGACTTAACTTTTAATATTTATTAAGCTAAATTTCCCCCCTTCATGTTCTGCACTTGGTTACTGTTAATGATCTCTATGATAGAAAGCCACTAGGTAGCTAATTTAGGATTGATGATAAAGAATGGGAAAAGAGAATTTCAAGTAAGGAAGGATTCAAGTAAATGTCTCAAGGGATTAGGTTAATCTTATTTTTTTTTAAAAATGCCAATGATAAAAGGGTAGTGTTTGAAGGAATCATATGAAGTTGATTTGGTGAACAAAATAGAGATTGTGTCATGCTCTATAAGTTTCTAAATTTTTGTGTGTGGATGCAAGTCCACTAAACAATTTGAAATAGAGGTTCACCTAAATATGTTTTACATTTCATAAATGTTCATCTGACTTCTCTGTTGAGTACAAGCTGAAGATGGGCAACAGTGGTATCAGAGAAAACAGACAGAAATCAGTAGTGATAATTAGGACGAGAGATGAAGATACTCTGAAGTCAGTATAGTGCTTTTGGAGTTGAAAAGAAGTTGAATGATTCAGGATGTGTTTTGGAGGTAGACATCAGAATGCGTTTCATGACTGGGATATTGGCCAGGGGACAGGAATAAGACTGAAAAGGCTACAGGACTGGTAGGTAATAATGGAGAATGGGCCGGACATCAAGTTTCTCTTTTGGCATGTCCAGTTTTAGTTGAAAATCATATCTTCAGCTAGACATGTTGTAAGGGGAATAGGCATATGAGGGCAGTGACGATTAAGGGCAGAAGTTAAAATAGGAACCAAAGGACTTGGCTTATGTTGATAGTTTAAACATGACTTGGGTTATGTTTAAAATCTTTGCGTTTCAATACTGATTTTCTCATTAGCTGACTTTGAGAGTTTTTTTTTTCCAGAAGTAATTGAGATAACAAATGAAACATACATTAGAAATTACACAGCGTAGCCTAAGGTATTATTAATAGGGGAAAGAACCAGCGTTGTGGAGTTTAGAACAAGTATTTTACTCCTGGCTCTTGGCTGGTTAATGCTAGCACTTTAGGTACATCATATAACTCCTTTGGGTTGAGTTTCTTTAGCTTTAAAAATGACAAAATCAATAGTCCCATCAGCTTTTTTCTTGTCTAATGATCAAAAAGAAAATCTTCCCTCTGTATTGGTGTTATCCCTACTTTGTAGGAAAGTAGGGCTTACTCTTATTTAGTTGTAAATTAGTTAAATATGTAAACTTTGTAATCTCTTTATCTCAAATATGCTAAGCTCCAGCTCCTAAATGGAATATCATAAGAGCATATTTATTTTGAGTCAGAGGAAGGACCCAAGAACTGGACACAATGTTCACATTTCTTCAGAATGTAAACTTGTTTTTCTCATTTTTGATTTTCAGTGGCCAGTTAATTTAGGCCGAATGGATCTGGGGACAGTGATAAATAATAGCACACACACAAAAAAACATGTCTTAGTTAAGTTGTTTTTTATAATGGGAAACACTAGCTTTCATTTCCATAAGTAAGCAAAGTCATTATGGGTGGAGCAGATATTTTAGAAAGAACAGTTCACATGGTCCACATTCTTACTTTGCTATGATCTTGATCTTGACATTTATGTGAGATATATGCAAATTTATAAGTAGCCAAATAGTACTCAGAAGATGTGCCAGAGTTTAGAAATTAAATGAGAATATTTATAATTTATAAGTCCTACATCCATGTATGGAATCATAAATTTCTAAAGATTAAGGAATTTAGAGTTCAAATTTTTCCATTATTTAGGACCATTAGCAATGGTCTTGAATACTTCCAGTGTGGTGATCCGATATCACATGGGGCAGTCTTTACTCTATGTATGATTCTAATTGTGTGGGTATATGTTTGGTGCTGGGGATGCTACTTGGACCTTGCTTGCGCTAAGCAAGTACTCTACCACCAAAGCTACACCCCCAGCCCTATGTGTGTACAATTCTGAATGATTGGCAGTCCTTTTAAAGTTTAAAACTCCTAAACCTGGTGCAATGGTGTATGACTTTAATCCCAGTGGCTCCAGAAGCTGAGACAGGAGGATCAGGAGTCAAAGCCAGCCTCAGTAAAAGTGAGATGTTAAGCAACTCAGTGAGAATCTTTCTCTAAATAAAATACAAAATAGGGCTAGAGTGCTCCTGAATTCAATCCCTGGAACTTCCACTCCCCACCAAAAAAAAAAAAAAAAAAAATTAAATCCCAAATCAACTACCTTGTGGATCCATCCTTAGATTCAATTTTTGAATTTCAGAGAGACAAAGTAAAAATCTAAGCTTTTTTAGTGTTCCTGAATATTTTTGGTCTTCTCAGAGCTTTCTATGCATCCTCATATTCCTCAAACATCTGTTATTCAGCTTTTTGGAATGCCACATAAGAGATTGTCCTTTCATGCATGAGTTCATTTTATAATTTCACTCTCTGAATGTGGCAGCCAAAATGGACAATGATTATTTAGATAGGATCTCTGAGAATTGCAAGACTTAGTGGAATTCACAACTTTCAAAATTGACTTGTGTAGAGCTCAAAGGAATAGAGAGTCTCATATTTTCCCATTAAGATTACCAAGTCAGTCATTCCCAGTTGTATGTTTATAATTTATTAAACTTTTTCAGATTTTAATTTAATAATTTTAATATATGACATTTCCTGCAACTTGTTTATCTTTTAAAAGCTCTCTATTCAATTGATGCTCATGGTCACTAGAACATATATCTGTTTTCCCTTTCTTTTTATGAATGAGAATGTTAGTGGCCAACGCAGTATTCATGTCAATAAAATGTTGTCATTTCAGGAATTTTCATCATATACCATTGTAACATATAATGTCTATTAATTTTAGCCAATGAAAAATCAAGGTTTTAGATATTGTGATAATTTATGTAAGCGACTATGTTTTAGAAACCGTAGACCCTTAGCCCTGACAAGTTTATGAAATTTTTACGTATTTATTTTCATTTTGAGTGATGCTGGGGAATGAGCCCAGAGTCTCCCACGTGCTAGGCAAGCACTGTACAACTGAACCACATTCACAGCCCTTTCTTTAAATTTTATTTTTCATACATGGCCTCATCAAGCTGCCCAGGCTGGCCTCTAACTTGCAATTCTCTTGCCTTGGCCTCCTGAACAGCTGGGATTATAGCTGTTTTTCACTGTGCCCAGCTGTACTTCTTATTTTTATAGTGGTATAATTCATATCCTGAAGGAGAATACTAATATCTGTACTTTCTAAAAGTGTAAACTTTAAATTTTTTAATTTTATATTTATCCTTATTTATGTTGGCTCAGTTTCCAGCCTCTGCATACCATTTGAATATATGTTCTGATTTCTATTGTATTAATTTGCTGTCCTAGGATATCTTCTGCCCACCCTCATGACAGAATCACAAAGACAATGCCAGAGAGGAACTCTATGTTTGCTGAGAGGCTTGTCTCCTTACTCTTTAAATCTAGCTAACTGCTGAACCTAACCTTGGGCTATTGTAGATTAATGTCTTTTTTTGTTAAATTCCCTCTTCTTCTGTCTCTCTCTCTTTTGTCAATGTATATCTCAGTCAAATTCTCGTCTAGAATCTGTCCTTTGTTACTTAGAATCTTTTCTTATTTCCTTAATCCCATTTATTCATGTAAAATCTTAAGAGTTTCAATTCTATTCTACTTTTTCTAGTGTCATGATCTTATCCTGCAGA